GCTTTGCAAGACCCACGGGGGGAGAGAGAGTCCGGCGACTCTCTAGGGGTGAGAGTTGTGGCCAAGATCAGTTGAAGTTTTGAAGAATGACAAACGAACTCAGTGAAGGACCAGGTTCATCTAAGGAGATACAGTTGTTATGGCCCATACACATGAGATGCACGTGAAGAAGATAAGTCCTTGAGATCAAGCAGCAATATCTTGATGAATATCTTCTGAACTGATCGAAAAGATTGAATATAGGATAAGGAGTTGAAGTCTCCTTATGAAAAGAGAATTACATCCGGATCAAGAATATGGATTAGGAGTTAGAGTTGTTCTTGGACTCAAATTGTCAAAGGATCCACAATTCGAGTTCTTATCAAACTCTGATTACTAACTCTATAAATATAACGATTGTTCTCTTTTACAGGTGAATGCACATAAGCAGAAGTTAAGCATATTTGAGACCAAAAAGATCAAGTCTGATTTGCAAGTAACATATGCGAGATACAAGTGTGCACGTCCGAAGCTACATGAACTAAGATAGAAGAACCAGTTTCATGATTGTGTTTATTCTAAGTCTAGTTCAATTGTAGTAGGTTTTCATATTGTACCTTTCAGCTTTCTTAGAAGCAATTGTATTAGGTACTCTGAGTATTCAAGTTAGAGTTAACTTGAAAGTGTCGCAACAGTTGAGGCTGTGTGCTACACTGGGATTAGAGTTAATCCTTAGGTTTACAAAGAGTTTTGTAAATGCAGTTTTTGGCTCAGTGATTTTAGTGGAGTTTGGAAAAATCCTACTGAGTTGTAGGTCGTGGTTTTTTCACCTTTTGAGCCAGGTGTTTTCCACGTAAAAATCTCTGTGCACTTTACTTTCAGTATTTATTATTCCGCAATCTGCTGTAGTTAGAACACTTAGAAGAACCAGGTTCTTCTAACGCGAAAATTAGGTACCACATAAATCACCCCCCCCTCTTGTGTGGTATTGACGTTTATAACATCAATACAGACCCGATATCAATAAAGTCAAACATTGGTCAAACTTTTAGATTCATTAAGCATTCAAACGTTAATTTTTCAACAAAATACGAAAACCCGAGCTAGGGACCTCCAAATTAGATTTTCAGCATATGCCCGTCCCAAATCACGATGCGGACCCACCAAAACCGTCAAAACACATATCCGGGTCTGTTTGCTCAAAACATTGACCGAAGTCAACCCAAATAGATTTTTAAGATAAAATTTCATATTTTATCAGCTTTTAACATAAAAGTCTTCCGAAAAAATATCCCGGACTGCGCACGCAAATCGAGAAGGCTAAAAATGAGGTATTTGAGATTTCAAATTACAGAATTAGGTTCTAAAACTCTAGATGACCTTTCGGGTCATCACAATTACACCGTTGGTGCTTATTGGTTTAAGACTTATTTTTTATTTATACTTTTTAATTATATTTTGTGCAAAAAATAACGATCTGTTTCGGTCGTTTTTCTTAAAAAAATAAAAATATTGACCGAAATCAATGGATAATTGGTCGGTATTCTAAATAGGCAAAAAGGCCTCATGACCACTTAAACTTGCACCCGATTGCCAACCCGGTAAGCAAACTTATAATTTTTTCATTTGAACACTTCAACTTGACGGAATAAATACTAATAAACCACATTGACCATTGATTATGCTTATGTGGCAGTGACATAGGTAATGTGGACAAAATGTGTGCCAATCACGCAGAAAAATGCGCGTGAATACAATAATCTGATTTAAAATAAATACTAAAATCAAAAGAAAAAATTAAAAAAAATACTCGCCTGTCTTCTCCTTCTTCTCTTCACCGGCAATCCCTCCCCGTTTATCTCCGGCCAATCCACCCTTTTTTTATCCAGTTCTTCTCATTCTCTTTCAAACCTTTCTCATCTCGTTTTCTTATTCTTTCTTAAATATAGTAAGTGGTTTGAGTATAGAAAGGTTATGAGTTTTGAACTTAACCAAGGAGAGAGAGCACCTTGGAGTTTTCGGCCAGATTTGATCTAAAGGTGTGTTGTTTTACTTATGATTTGGGCCTTTTTGGAAAAGATATGTGGTTATATGGTTGGTCGTCGGTGAATTGGAGGTGGCAGCCATGGGGTTTTCTGGCGGTCAAAACTTCTATCCCTAATTGAATTTAACAAAATTAAGAAGAAAAGTAGAAAAAGAGATGAAGAAAGCCGACTATTTTGTTGGATTTGGGGTTTGGCGGAGGCTTTTCCGGTAGTATATTATTTTACTGGTTTGGGGGTTGGGGGGACGTGTTTGAATGGAGAAGAAAAGTAAAAAATGAAAAATAAATTTTTGATAAATTAATTTTAAATATGGGACCCACAAATAACACATGTCAAGCAATAAATAGTATATCGTATGACGTATTTGACATGTCAACGCAATTAATATACACGCTCGGTTGGATGTGTGGAATAGTATTCATTCTGTTAAGTTAAAGTGTTCAAATGAAAAAATTGTAAGTTTGTTTACCGGGTTGGCAATCAGGTGCAAGTTTAAGTGGTCAGGACGCTTTTTACCTTCTAAATATTACCGACTGAAGTTGGCTGATTTCTTAAAAATAAATTTTTCGGTATCCATTACCTACTGAAGATGGACTTACAAAACAGAATTGTGTGTAACCTTCACAATTAGAAGAAACAACAGAGGGAAGCTGCATGTTGAGAAATCTTCTTCCAAATCGTACGTTAAATCTTCTTATTTTGTGTAATTGTGCTTAAGTGCATGGTTCTTGCTCCTAATGGTTCTTTCCAACTGACATGCTCACTA